TATCACTTTGGTCACAGGGGGCGCCAAAATCAACACAGACTGAAAGTTCAAAAAACGCAGAGAAAAATGACTTTAAAACAAAAAAAGGTTAATGTGAGACAGAAGCCATGTACACAGCTAGGATTAAGATTATGAATAAATAATTGAAATCAACATAATATTTGTTATTATTTCAGAATTTATGAAAACACACAGGAGTGACAGAAAGGAGACTCAGAGCTGAAAGTCTGTTCACATGTGAGACATGCGGCAGACAAGCAGTGAGCAAGACTTTTAGCAGTTCAGCATTCAGCAACATCTGTTTCGACATACAACTCAAATACTTTGTAAACCAAATAAAACAAACACATATTTATATTAAGGAAAAAGAAAATGAAACTGATGGCAATGTTCTCATATTTGACTGGATTATTTTGTTCTAGTTCTGGACAATGACGAGGACATCAAGCAGCTCAACAAAGAGATCAACGACCTGAACGAGTCCAACAACGAGATGGAGGCTGATATGGTCAACCTGCAGACACAGGTGTGTTTCACTAGAGCCAAATAATACCAGAGAGACGCTTAAATATGTTTATCTGTGGGTGAAAAATACCTGAAAGACATTTAAATACATGGTAGGACCTTCAAACTACAAAGACACCTTGTAAAAACCATTCTGCACAGTTTTTCAACCTTTGACAGAAGATATAAGTCCACCTTTTTCTTACCTTTCAGAGAACTGATGCATAAACAATAAAACACGTTTCAGGGGTTTAAGAACTCAATATGTGTTTCTTTTACTTTCACCTTTGACCCTATTTCTTCAAACCAATGTGTCCTCACAGTTTGTGAAAAGAAGAACATACAGGACAAACTAGTTTTCTTCATGACTGTTATAAAGTGATCAGGGTCAATACTGATGAATGCTGTTATTAATCGGTGCTCAGTCTGCATGCACACAGAATCCTTCTGAGGTGGTTTATAGAATGGACTAATTACATGTTTTCACCACCTACTGGGCTGACAAGCTTATGTGAGCAAACTGTGACAACAAATGAAAGTCCATCTCTTCAGGTCTGACCTTTGTCCTTGTCTCTGTGCCGCAGATTTCATCCATGGAGAAGAACCTGAAGAGCATCGAACACGAGAACAAGATGATCGAGGAGCAGAACGAGGCTCTGTTCATGGAGCTGTCGGGTCTGAGCCGCGCCCTTATCCGCAGCCTGGCCAACATCCGCCTGCCGCACATGGTGAGTCTGAGTGCGCGCATAAACACACACACATACACACGTGCACACACCTCTGATTGATTTCATGCATGTGTTTGGAGGTGAACCCGCCCAGCACACTGCCTGTCATGTCCCCGCTCATCTCAGCTCTGATTGGTTGTCGTTTGTTCTCAGCAGGAGCCAATCACAGAGCAGAACTTCGACCGCTATGTGAGCACGCTGACCGACATGTACACCAACAAGGACTGCTTCCAGAGCCCAGAGAACAAGGCTCTGCTGGAGAGCATCAACAAGGCTGTGAAGGGCATCAAAGTCTGACGCTCCTCACACACACATACACACACACACGCACACACACATACATACACACACATATGAACACACACACACACACGCTGGGAGAAAACGCACACTGTCCTGAAGCACCGAAGCGGCGGGGAGGAGGAGAGATGTTGAAATACTCGAGGATTTAATGAAATATGAGTCAAAAACAAAAAAGGGAATTCAGGTTTTTTAAATAAACGGCAACTTTAAAGAAATCATCCCAGGGAGCACTCTGTGAGAGGAAGAGGACCAAAACCCAGACCAGGCTGCAGCTGGACTAGGACGAGGACAAGGACGAGGATCCGGATCCTGCAGGAAGAAGAAAAAGAAAAACAAGAACTCTGTTTGTTTACCTGTCGTCTCTTCGTGTCCTGATTCGTCTGTGCAGAAACCTGCAGGAGCATCTTCACCCAGCCTGATGAAGAGGAGGACGCAGATGAAGACTGTCCTGCAGCAAAGAAGCCCTCTGTTTCACACACACATTCACACACACACAGGCCTAAACCTGAGCGTGTGCTGGCTCCTGCAGCACAGACGTCAGTGTGCAGAGACAGATCCAGGATCAGTGTTTGCTGATGGAGAGAAGCTCCTGTTTCTCTGTTTGAGCTGAAATGATGATAGTGGTAGTGTGCACACATTTCAGACCCACTTAGTCATATCAATAGTATTTATCACCATAGGAATTGCACTTCATTTCAATGATAGTTTGTGCTATAATAATTATTGTTATATATGAATTATTTAAACTTGTGAACTTTAAATTATTGCCGTTTATGTTATTGAGGTTTATTTATTTGAAGCGATCTATTTATTATCTTTGTTTTGTAACACACAGAAAGAAAAAAAAGCATCTTTACTGATTCTCACGTCGCAGCGATCTGCAGACAACCATATTTGAAGAATCAAAGAGATTTTCTTTGAGTACTTTTTAAAAACCTTTTTAATTGCAGATGTTTTATAACTGAGAAAATCTTTTTGATAATATTACAAAAAAGTTATTTTTGGGTTGTTTTTCTCATTTCTCTTTGTTTTTTGTTTTTTTGTTACAGTCAGAATCCACTGAGGAAAAAAAAAGACAAATGTATTTATTATTTATTTAAAATGAAAGAAATGGACTGATATGGCTGTATATTTATTTTGTTATTTATGTGCGTGATGTGACGGTTGAGTCTGAGTAGTCCTAAACTCCACTGCTAATATTGAAATAAAGAAACAAAGTCCTTACAGATACTGTTTGATTGCTGAGGGAGCGAGTAGATGACGAACCAGCAGCTGATTGTAAAGACTAAAAAACGAGCCGACGACGACGGCGGCGGCGTTGTGCTGAGCGCCGCTCTTTATTCTGTGAGTTTGAGTTTGTCAGGTTACAGACGAAACATAGAGTTCAAAATGTTACCTCTCCCGAGCGCTTTGTAGCGGCCAGCTCTGGCTCACACACACATACAGACACACACACACACAGACACAGACACACAAAGAGCTGTGATCCAGTTGAGGCTCAGGCTGGATGTTCCACACACAGCCTCACACTCATCTGACCCTCCAGGATACTGTAGGATGGCCTCTTTTGACTAACTCCTATCAGAGAGAAACACACACACCCTTGTAGCCTTACTCTAGATTTTAATTTTTTGATGCACAAAGTGCCACTAAAAAGAAAAAGAGAAAAAAAGAGAGCTCACTTTCTTTCCTGATCCTTCTTCGCATTTCTGCAATGTACCAATGTCTGGTCCCGGAGCGACCAGGACGTCACAGAGTGCTGATTGTTTCAGATGCCTTTATTTCTCTGCCAAAATGGCCATTAGTACACGATATATACATTCTGTATAAATAGATTTTAAAGATACTATATATAAGAATATAAACATACATATATTTTTCCAGTGTAATTGTTGACTTGCTCTTCTTCTTCTTCTTCTTCTCTTGTATTACCTGATCAGAGCATTACAGGCTGTGCAGAAGAGACCTGAGGTATAAGGAAAGGAGGCAGTTACACCTTATTTAATATCACAAAGACCTGCTGAACTGTGGCTTTAAACACAACATTCAGTCAAGCTGAAGCCAAGTAGGCGCTGATGAAACAGTCCGAGTGTTTTCATGGTTTCCTTTACGTTCTCTTTTTTTTCTTTGTCTGTCTTTGATGCAGAAATGTCAGAAACATCTGCTGTTTGTTGTTCTACTTGATCTGAATCTAGCTGGTTGTCATGTGAGTTTATGTACAGAAAAAAGATGATGCCTCTGAGTAATGTTCTGCACACCAGCTGCGTTTCTACTGCAGGAACTTTCTCCAAGAACCAGGAACTTTTGGTGGGACATGGTGTGTTTATAGAGCAGGGATCTGGGTCAGAATAAAGTTCCATGGACTTTGTTTTTTTTATTACCCCTAGAGTGTCCGTGCTGAGTGACAATTGTTTTTACGAATACATTGACATTGGGGGCGGGGCCTGCAGTACTGCATGCATTCAGCCTTTAGATGCAAACAGTACAATTTGGCATGCTCCAAGGTTTTTGATGCAAATGCAGACAACATCATGAATCTTTTTGAGGTACTTGATGCAGAAGGGATCTGGGTCTAATGAAGTGAAGGGCTGTGCATTTGCACATTTTATGATGGTAAAATACTGCACGCATTTGGCCTTTAAATGCAAGCAGACTGTTTTGGCATGCTTTAAGAATCTGCAAACAAAATAATCAATCCTTTAAAAGCAGTTCCAAGTACTTTAGGTGACACTCATTGTGTTCATGCAGCAGAGATCTGCAAAGTTTCAGGCTTTATTTGACTTTCAGAGTTTCCCTGCAGGGTGGAGATATTTCCTATAGTGCTATTGGGGACGGGGCCTGCAGAACTGCATGCATTTAGCCTTTAAATGCAAGCAGACTAATGTGGTGGTCTTTGAAGGTCTTCAGTGCAAATGGAGACAACACCTTGAAAGGTGGTTCCTGGAATCAAAAGTTCCTTGTACTTTGGTGGAAACGCGGCTTTAGTGTGTGTGCAGTTTTTGTGTTGTTGCTGGTGAGGCCTGCTCGCTCTATGGTGTTCAAACCATCCAGTAGGAGGTGCTAGTGTAACCTGCCTCTGACCTGTTGCAGCTGCTGTGACGTGCAGTCTGACCCGTGTGTAACTCTGATGTCAAAGGCATGGTGTTCATGTGCTTTTAGCCAATGTAGAATGAAACTCCTTTGTGCACTTTCTGAATAACCGTTAAAATGCCAGCATTTGAGTCTCGACTTGTAAGAACCCCAATAGATCACGAGCAATAGCAAAAATTCACCCCCCTGAGGAGGGAGGGAGAGAGGGAGGCAGGGAGGGTCGGGGGGGTCGTCTCACCTGTTTGTTGCTTGATGCTGAATCGTGGTGGATAGAGACGTTTCTTTGATTCAGGGGGTTTTAAAAGTTCCTTTTCCAAACAAAAACCAAAAGAGATTGACAGAGAGCAGAGTTTGGTTCTCAGGTGACCGGGGTGGGGGGTTTGGGGGGTTTGGGGAGGGTTGGGGGCGGGGTCGGCTAAGGCTGGAGGCGCTGGCAGCGGCTGCGTGGAGGCCTCATGTGGAAAGAGATGAGTGTGTGGGAGGGAGGAAATTGATTTGCTGGGATACACAATCTCCCCCTCGCTCCAGGAGGAGGCGTTTGTTGCATAAATATGTGTCCATCACTCAAAGAGTGTCAGAGCTCCTCATGACTTTAGCCCCCCTCCTCATGTGTTGTGTAACCTTTCCTCAGGAAAGAGAGTTTGATGCATTTGGTTAACAAAGTACCATTTTCCTCCTCTGTTGAGATGCACGAGAAAACAACCCCAGAGTGTCAAGACTGTGAATATTCTCCTAACTTATTTGATATGGCATGACCCCTTTTAAACTGCTTGATGAAATTGTCTATTGAGGTATGTAAATGAATAACAGTGAGGCCATGAAAGCAGAGCGTTTCCACTAAATGTCAGCTGAGAGCAGAAGCAGCCTTCGGTTGTGTGTTCGCCCACGCTCTCTGTGTTTCTGATTTCCATAAAAGTCCTGAGTGATGGAGGATTATTCTTGCAATAAGACTCAAACTGGTCAGGGCCTCGTTTCCCTGAAGCGCCAGGACGAAACATGTTTAACTCTTTCAGGGAAGCCAGCCCAGACCAAAACCCAGCTCTGTTCTCAAACAGGAGGGGGGCACACTTTCAGCTCGGGGCCCGAGTTAGTTTCAGACTGTAGACTTTGTAGAAGAAGAGGACTCAGCCAGAGAGATGCCGAGAACTGTTTTCTAGGTTTAGAGTCTTTGGCCATCACAGTTTGAGCCGTTAAAGCCAGAGGGGATTGTGTCTTGATGAGGGGCTCAGTATCTTGGTTATAAACTCAAGCTCCTTCAGAGTCCGGTCTATAATCTACAGAGATTAAGACAGGAATCAAGATGCTCATTTAATGATAAACAGCTTTAAACAAAAGCTCTCCTCAGTTCCCAGGATGTTTAAAAAAAAAAAAAAAAAAAAAAAGGAATTACACCAAATGACACATTTTTTCATGTGTCTGTGATTATAACTTACAGTGCAAGGTATCTCCTGTCCAAATCCAACCGGTCTTTGAGTCTCTTTGACTCAGGTCAGACTGCTCCATCACTTTATAAGCTTCACCAGGACCAAGGATCAGGGTCATGAAAAAGAATTGAAAAAAGATGCAGTAAACTGTCAAAAATTTTGAGAAATGAACATTAAAAAACAATAAAATTTACCTGTAAATTTTTTTTTAATAAAGTTGTGGTACAACAACAAAAAAAGGAGGCCATAGTGAAGTTGCAATATCATAGAACAAAGTCCTGGTATTTTGGTTCCTGGGGTCAAAAGTCCCACCATTTTTTGATGGAAGTGTAGCTTTAGTAAGAAAATAAATTAGTATCATGAGTTTAAAAAACAGTTGTAATTTTTTTTGCAGAAGTAGTAATTTCAGGCCGGGGTTAATCTTTGTTGGCATGAATGCAGACAGGCTCCTGTTAACTCACCTGTCTTTATTACAGACTTTATTTCCTGTTTGAAACCCTGATTATTTTAGATGGCCCCCTAACCAGAGTGTAAAATCAGGACTTTTATCCCCGTAAACAAAGAACTTTACTGTGACAATATTACAGCAGTGCTCTGCCTTTTCACTCTGTCTAATACTATGACTTTAATCTGGGAATACTTGACTTGATTTTTTAAAACGTGTACTTTAAAAAACCTTGATTTTTACGTTCTTAATATGGTCCTGATTCTCCGTCATATTTTCCTGTCTTGTTTGTTTATGTGAATTTCACTCCGTTCTGATTGGTCGACAAAAGAAAAACCAAACATGCCAGACTCTCTGTCAGGAGGTCACAAAGTGTTTTTGATGGTCATTCACTGTGACCCACAACACCCGATAAATCCTTCGATTATCAGAGCGAACGGGTCCTGAAACACTAAATCGTCACTCTTTTTTCGTCTTGATTTAAAAACCAGTCGCCCCCTGCTGGCCTGTGATTAAATGCAGTATTGACCCCCTTCATTGGCTCTTCTTTTGGTGCACAGAGCTTAAGTCCTCTTCTTGTAGACTGTCTACAGTGCAGACAGAAATCTGAGGTAAACGTTCAGCTGAGCGGCACTTTTCATGGAACCAAATGACCCCCCCAGGCCCCGCCCCTTCCCTCACCCATGGCCCGCCCACTCTGCCCCCCTCCCTCCTTCCCTCCCCCTGCTGTAGTTAAAGCTGTGTGGTCTTATCATGTGTGCCTTTCTCACTCCACGCATTTCAAGATAGCGTATGTTTACACAAACCTGCAGACCTGCTTCAGACACTGTCCAGACTCCTGACCCGGATCTCTACTAATACTGTCACTGAGGGGGGAGGGGGGGTTATAGAAGGGTGTACGGGGGCGTGATGGGGGTGCTATGTACAGGGGGGTACGCTAAATGTGTCTTTTACATGCAGATATAGAGAGGTTATTCTGTGGGGAAGGAACTGAACACAGAAACTGTGATCTCATTCAGGTACTAACTGCTCGGACAGTTTCAGTGAAGATCTGAGGAGCTCCACCGTCTCATCCTAGATTATTATAATAATAATAATAATAATAATGATAATAATAATAATAATGCATCAGTGTGCAGGGCATTATTTTCAAACCAGTGGAAGTCTCTGTACATATTTGTATTAAGAAGAAACAGTGTTATTGATGTTGTATTGAAGTTGAAAATGGAAAAAAAAACTAAAAAAAAAAAAGTTTGTGACAAAGAAAAAACTCTCCACAGCCAAGGGTTGTCCTGCTAGCACATTTTTACAGAGATGAGCTATTTTTACTGCTGATTTTCTAGGCGTTGATATTGATATCCTTTTAAAAAACTTCCAAAATAACAAGCACTTCTTCCACAACCATAGATTGTAAGGTCCTTTTTGTTACTTTTGTAGACGTGGTGGTTCCTTTGCTACTGCAGCGTTTTGTAAAGTGGGACAGGCCTTGGCTGTGCATCCTCGGGGTCTCATGTTTGGCTGTTTTTTTAGTTCTGGTTTTTTCGGGGAGGTAAACACTGTAGATGGGCCGACTTTGTGACTGTGTGTTTGTGTACTTGTGTACATGTTCCCCTGTTCCTGTGTCAGTGTTAAACAGCAGAGAAGTGATGTCAGTTATCGTGGGGGTTTGAACCATTTTAAATGTTCTCTATGAAAAACACCAATAAAGATTCATAGACAAGAACGCCTCCGACACATCTGTGTGTGAGTGTGTGCATGTATGTGTGTTATCAACCACACTGAAATACACTGTGATTCTATGAACTTCACTGAAAAACTAATTAGACCTTCAACAACAAAACTGATGAAGTCTTTTTTTTCTGTTGAAGGCTGCTATTGCAATGAGGGCAGAAAAATGACAGTTAAAAGCTTGTCTTGTTCTGTAAATATTCAGTAAATGATGAACTTATACATTGAGAGATGGCTGAATAAGATTTTTGTCTTAAGAGGACTTCAGCATGTTCAGGTCAAGTTTAGGAAAAAAAAAACTGCTGTGAGTGAGTTTAAGCATCTGCCGAATGTTGTTTCTTGTTTAGGATGGAGTTGAATATTTTAAGTGTTGCACCAGCTGACGTAGATAAGGTAAAGCGTATGCATGTTAGGGTAGTTAGGGAGTCTAACTTATTTTGGTGCTGTATTAGCAAGTGACATAGCTGTCAAGAATCTTGTTTTGGCCAGGAAACTACCGTACTTTACCCCTCTTTCCATTTTACCCCTATAATATATAACAATTTTACTCTGCTCCTCCAAACTGATGTTGTTGCTAACTGTAACACGCAGAGAAATGAAAGTATGTGGTTGTTTGAGTTGAGTTGATTGTGTGATTGTTGGCTGTAAGAGAAAGCTGTATGTATGTATATATTGATGAGATATTATGTGTGAGGCAGTTATTGTCCATAGAAGAAGCTGTGTCAATTGAGTGTAGGGAAATGATTTGTAGGCAGTCAAAATGGTAGTATGTAGATTTTTTTTTTTATTAAGAAACAATGTTTAAATGTTTTCATCAAAATGTAAGGAAATAACTGACAATGAGTCTTAAAGAAAAAAAAAACATTCACAAAGAAAGCAAATAAAATAGCACACTAAATATTAACTAAAGATCAAAGTAGAGAAGCGCTTGTGCAGATATGGAATTGAATGTAAGAAATGCAGTTAATTTTCTTCTTTTTCTAAAGTGGTGGAGGAGCCGTCTTTTACAGGCGTAGGTGGTGTTTTTTGGTTTGTGATGTCTTCTATTTGTATGCCCATCAGCTCATCATCGGGGATGTCTGTAACCCATGAAAGAGAACAGTGAAAGCAAGCAAGGACAGAAGCGATCATTGTGTTTGTGAGTAGTTCTTACCAGCCTTTTGTTGATTAGGCATCTGGCAGGCCTCTATGTTTGGAGTATTGGTACAGTGTCACTGCGGTTTATCAAGTTTGTCTGTAACAAGTCGTGTTTCTTTCCTCTTTCCTCCTGGAGTTTTGGTGAAGACCCTTCGGCCTGATGTAAATACACAGAAGACAAGCAGATGGTACATTAAATAAAGCTTCACAGTGTTCTGACGCTGTGGAAGTGCACAAGAAGTAGATTTATTCTTCATAATTCAACAAAAACCATAACAGAATGCAGGTAGGAGTACATACTCATTAAGGTTACTGTGCCAAAACTTATACTACATACAGCTGTCTCGTCCATGCCCTTGACAGCATGCTCTATCCTGTTTAGAGAATTTTCTGTTGCTTAGTGAAGCCATCTATAGTTCTGCAGGCAAATAACATGAAGATTTAATGTAAATGGATTGGTAAAAATGTTACAACTTGAAAAAGGTAGCTGGAAGATTAGCTGGTAACAGCTACCTGTTGGGCTGTGCACGTATGTTCCATGATGCCTATATAGAAATTACATGACAAGCGGACAGACAGACGTGACTGCTGTCGCCTACTACCATCAGTCAATTTCTACACAGGTGTCCGCCTTTGTCAAATGCCATCAAAGACAATTTCTCGTTTTCCCTTCCTGATATTTTGCATTTATTCAAGGCAGCTAAATCCTAAAATAACTTTTTGTGTGGGTGTTTGTAACATACACATACAGACAATAAACGGTAGTAATAGCTGCAGTATTACTAATATGATGGAAGGAAGACATTAGATTTTAAAATACAGAATCATATCATTCTTAATAAACCTTATCTATCATAACTTATTACAACTGTAACATACCTATGGGGGAGGGTCAGGTCAGAGAAAAGTTTCTATACAAGGCTGAAGAGACACAAGTGTGCCAGGTGTGCCATGTTTGTCTAACTACTGAGCTGCACTGAAAGCTAAGAGCTGGAGATACACCTCTAAGCTGACATCACTTAAACATCACATAATAATATGATGACAGAGAAATCCCTGTAACTTACTAAAGTCAGATTCAGCCTTTTTCTGAGGAAGCCAAAATAAAAGCAGAAAGGTCTGTGCGCATGTGCAGTGGAGCAATTCCGTCAATATCGATCTAAGCTGACCAGCAGGCACATTTCGGGTGATGCCTGTGTTGTCACTCACTGACGTCACACATTATTTAAATGTATAAGGGAGCAATGTAACAAAAGTTTCACTTTCCATCTAGAGAGATCTTCTCGTGTGAAACAACATCGGTGATGGAAATGAAGTGCATGACAAAAATTCCATCAATTCATGAGTATGATTACAATACACATTGCACAAACATTTGAGGGAAATAATGATTCCGTTATAATGAACACTTTGTTATTCACTGGTATTCAAGCAATGCAGGTTTATGTCAGATCGCCTTTCCCCTTAGTTGTTATTTAGCACCAAAATAAAAAGTTCAATCCTTAAAAGTTATGATACAATAAGGGACAACAATGGTAAAGAGCTCATGCTCCATAATACTGGAAATGAGACCAAAAATACAGTCAGGTCTTAGAAATATCAAGTATTAAATTTAAACATGAGAAGCTGATTATATGAATGCCAGTAAAATCCTGGTATGTTTACAGTTATAGTAAATGTGAATATATAATGATGTATCAATTATTAATGCCGTCATGGTAACTTAATCATTATTTGACCAAAATGAATTGATACATCCTGTGTTAACCCTAAAAACTTAACAGGGCATCATTGAGACCTTGTTGTCCCTGAATTTAATGTTATTTCTATGGGGTCCAGGTTTTTGGTCCCTACTAAAATTTTGGTTCCCACACATTGAGTTGGTTGTTGTATTTTAGTCCCCTCAATGTAATAAAGACACACACACACACACAGCGAGAGAGAGAGAGTCTGAGTCCTGAGTAGGAATCAAAATGGGGGCTCTTTCTTGAGTGTGTGATGGTTTAGACCGTTTGTCTGTAGATCAGCACTGACATCTGCTGGAACAGACAGAATCAACACGTGAGGCCAGGCTGCCAAGGAGGAAACAGAGAAATACTGACACCTGTGTTTGAGGCTCCACATCTGACTGAGCTGTGAGAGAGGAGAGTAAATCACAACAGACTTTGTCTACATTTAATAACAGCCCTATTGAAGAATACCAAAGCTGGCCTATTGTGACTTCGTGGAGATATGAGCAGCAGCAGGATTTAAAAACCACAGCACCCACTAGCAACACCAGCATCACATACCCCCCAATGTCCTGTCAGCTTGATTTAGTGGCCTTACACACCATTTAAGTTACGGTTGCCTCGCTCACTGCCTTGATCCCAACATGAGCATGAGTGTGACCTTGTGGCTCATCATGTAGTGTAGGTAAATGATGATAATGACACTTAATGAAACGGTGTGTACCCTTGGCCTAGCACTGCATATCAGCAATGCATCCTACTTCTGTCAAGTCCTGTTTCTCTTAGTTGATCACTTGCTTTGTTTGCATCTTACACACTTTATTTGGTTTAATTTGCTTTAATAAAGTATTTTTCAAACATACTGTTTGTCCCCATCTTTGTAATGACCTCCTGAGCCGGACCATGACAGTTTACAGGTTCACAGCAAGGGAAACATTTGGCTCTTAGAGATGCCAGCAGGAGATTTTTACTCGCACATGACTGGGACATGATCCGCAAAGACAGGAGACACACTGCTTTGTCCACATGGAGGCGCCAAAATCCTGACAAAGTTGGCAGGAGCTTCACCCAGAGTTTATCTGAAACCTGTAAGTGAGTATCAAACTGCTGCAGAGTCCACAGTCTGCTCGGTTTATCCAGTTTACTGTAGAGATTGTGAAACTTTATTACTGTGTCACTCAATAAAGAGCTCACTGTTTGTCTCACCATGATGGTCTGGAGGTAAAGGCTGCTGTGAGTGTTACACAGTGTTCCTAGAGTGTTATGACTGTGACGTTTGACCCTGATTCTCCTGCTGATCAGCACAGGGTTTATTTCATCATGGGGGTTGATGCTGATGGTTTTCCAGAGAATTTGTTCAAAGAAAATGAACCACAAATGATCTTTATCCGTCCAGCATAGACAAACACAGTTTCATTCAAACTCAGAGTCAGGATGCTGTGAAAAATGACGTTCAAAAGAAAGTAAGAGGGTTTGCACATTTAAAGTCTGTATATAAGTGAAATTACAGTCGAAACAGCATATCAGATCTCTGCTCATTTTAAAGCTGAAAATTGTGTGTCATCAGCTCTTCTCTGAAGTTTGAAAGTGAAATGTTGTCCCATTCTTGCCTGATAGAGGATTTCAGCTGCTCAACAGTTCAGGGTCTCTTTTGTCCTGTTTTTGGTGTCATGATGCTCCAAATGTTTTCAACTGGAGGTAAGTCAGGACTGCAGGCAGACCAGTTTATCAGCAGGACTCTTCTACTACAGAGCCATGCTGTTGTATTCCCTGCAGAATGTGGTTTGTCATTGTCTTGCTGAAATATGAAGATCTTCCCTGAAAAAGTCTTTGTCTGGATGGAAGCAGATGTTGCTCCTAAACCTGTTTATATTGTTCAGCATTAATGGAGCCTTCACATATGTGGAAGCTACTCATGACATGAACTCTGATGATCCCCATACCATCAGAAAGGCTGGTCTTGGACTGGGAGCAGAGAACAAGTTTGGTGGTCCCTCTACTCTTTAGGGAGGAAGATCCATGATTGGATGAAGCAGTGTCCATGATTTCCAAAAAAAAACCTCCACCACTCCACTGGACAGTTTTTCTCTTCCCCTCAGTCCACCTTTAATGACAATGGTTTTTGAAGCAATTGTGAGCCCATGCAGTGATGTCCACTCCAGAGTCCTGTCTGTTTTTATTGCAGTGCTGCCTGAGGGCATCAGCAGGCACGTATAACATTAAAAAGTTTTTGTGTTTCTGTTTGTGGACTAAGGCTGTGGAACAGATTAGGTGTGGAGCTCAAGCAATGTCCAAGCATGACCCAGTTTAAAAAGCGGTACAAAAACACGGTTCTCACCGGATACAGGGAGGAAGAAGGGCTCTAACCATCAGGTGTTTTGATAAATGATTTATGTACTTATATACTCTATTTATGTTCCATTTTTTGTTAATATAATGTAAAAATGTTAGAGACTGACTGTTTATTGAGTAGAGGATAAGTGTTAGGTTTTAAAAAAAAAAAGCATAATGCTTCATCCTACTTCTTTTCAGACATGTTGGGTTAACATTATTATTATTAATATTTCTTTATTCCTATTATTTATTTTTTTGCTTTAATTATTCTTATTGTTGTTTTGAATATCCTCATTGGTTTTGCTTGTTTGTTTTCAGTTTACTTTTTTTGTTGCACGCACATTTTCGAAAAAAATAAATGAAATGAAAGAATTCAATAACCAAATTATCTATTTATTAAAAATCAATAATTGCTGTACAGACACATAGAGAGATGATGAGATGAGGGTGTGATCCTGAATGATAAAAGATGAGATTTCACTCTTTTAATTGTAGTATTCTGATCAAGACTAGACTTTTTAAAAACCTGGACCTTAAATCTGACACAGAAGCAACTGACTGTAACTCAGCTGTTGTTCCTGTTAAGAGTCACACCTGTGATCTACCTGCAGTATGGTGTTGAACACAGCCTGTAGTGTTTGTATTTGACCTACTGACCCAGAGAGGATCAGCACAGAAACCAGCAGATAATTCAATTAAAACTAAAGGAGGATCAAACCCTCAACCCTGATTGGCTGGGTCACGTGATTAAAAACCTCACGTATACACTGATAATGACACGTTAAAGTTCATATTCACCCGTTCACAAGTCAAAATACTTATTCAAAACCCGCATACCCCCACACTGCTGCTGCAGCTCGGCTATCAGTGCAGCTCTCTGTGCAGGATGTAGGCCACCCTCCTCCGCCGTCGCTTCACGCACGCTGCGTGATGACGTCAGAGCGTCAGCTGGCTGAATGTTTACATCCAGCAGTGGTGTGTTCCTGACTGGACCCCCCGACGGTTAACGGCTAGGCAGAAGAAACCCGCAGGGACGGAGAGCACCTTTAGGTGATTTCTGCAGGTAAGAGAAGCGCCAGCCGATCCAACATGGCGGCTCAGGTGGAGGTGAAGGGGGAGGGGGAGACAGTCAGCTGTTGTCTCGATGTTTCTCCTCGTGCAGCAGGGAGCAGACTGTGAAGAGTGTTTTGACCTTGTTCCCGTGTGTCAGTCTGATCGGAGTGTGTGTCGAAGTGTGTGTTCGTGTCGGGCTTTTGTGTCGTTGTGTGTCCGTGTCCGCAGCGGCTGATTGACGCTAATCTCACCGCAGCACCGAGTACCGCGCGGGCTGCGGTGCGTGCGGAGAGGGAGAGGGGGGGGGGTACGGGATGTGCGGGTCTGTGCGTGTCTGAGGACTCTTTGTGTCTGCAGTAAAAAACACGGAGCTGACACACACACACATACACACACACTGATACACACCGATCAGAGGGACTAAAACACAGGAGTGTGTGTGTGTGTGTGTTTACGTGTATGTGTGCACGAAGTGTGCTTGTACCCTACTAGCCTACTAAACCACTTAGTGTGTTAGTGAGTGAGTCACAGCGCCCCCATCTGCTCATGTTTGCTCACAGCATCAAAAACACTCATATATCTGCTGATCGTGGACTCTGATCTGCGACTGAGTCTGAAGCTGCAGTTTGTTCAGACTCTGAAAGTCTTCCTGAGTCTCTTTGTCACCCTGATGATGACTGCTGGTGGGACATTTGTCCTCTTCTGATGTCCCCCTCTGCTGTTGATTTTAACACCAGCCTGAACCAGCTTCACACCTCTAGCTGTGATACAAAGCTGCAGTAAACCTCTGAGCTGAGAGACCTGCAGGATGATTTGAAGAGTTCAGATGTGCATGCATGTGTTTGCAAATGTTTGTTGGTGAGTTCATTTAAGTTGATCACATGATCACGATGGGAGGAAATTAGAGCTGCAAAATAATCTACAATTTTATCCATATTGCAATATGAGCATTTGCAAGACACACACAGTAAAAATCTGTTAAGTGGTAAATTACTGAATGAGTTAAATCAGTGTTTCCTCTCAGCATGTGCGTTTGACTTGTCAGATGGAGGTCTGGGTGTTATAGTCATGCTTTTACACTATTTTTATGCGGTCAGATGAAGTTTAATCCAGCTGTCTGCTAACCTCAGATTAGACGGTGATATTTTAGAGATGAAAAAATGCTTTTTGGAAATTTTCTGGCCACCTCGGTCATAAAAGGACCAGAGGAGTGCTACCTGCACCCCCAAAGGACCCCAGTTTCCTCAAGAGTTGGAGTCTGCTTTTGTCTTTCCTGTAGAGTGAGTTTGTGTTGTCAGTCCAGTAGTTTATAGTTCAGGTGAACACCCAGGTCCACAATCTTAATGTCTTCCCTGTAAATGTTCATTGGTGTGGGAGGAGTGGGTCTGCACCTGCTGAAATCTACCACCAGCTCCTTGGTTTTTCCAGTGTTGATCTGGAGGAAGTTCCACCGACACCAGTCCACAAAGTTCTGGTTCAGTTCTCTGTACTCCCTCTCGTCATTATTGGCACTGAGGCCAACAATCGTGGAGTCGCCTGAGAACTTCTGCAGGTGGCAGCTTGGTGTGTGGTGGGTGAAGTCTGCAGAGCACAGGGTAAAAAGGAAGGGAGCCAAGACTGTCCCTTGGGGGCCCCTGTACTGCAGACAACAGTATCAGACACACAGACATGAGCCCTCATAAACTGTGGCCAGTCGCTTAGATAATCAAACTGCCAAGATGTGAGGTGGTGATTCAGATATGAATAAAAGCAGATAGAAAATAGAAAATATTAGTTAATTTACTTCATATGCACTCTTTAATATTTGTTTATTTGTCACACTCTCTCTTAATGTCACAATATTAAACAATGTTAGTGCACATCATCTATTTTTTTAGCATGGTGCAGGTTTAGAGTCAGATTTTCTGGTAAAAGTATGAGAGAAGTTTCGTTTGGATTTAAAGAAAATAGACTTTCCGTTAGAAAATGATGAAGAGTCTGTTTTTAACTTTTATTCATGTTTATGTTGGTAAAAAACACAACACTTTTATATGGCTTTAGTTCCTGTATTTTTGCATACAGCAATAAATACTTTAGAAATGAGAAGTATCTCAACCTCAGTTTTCTTCATTATTGTTCAGTCCTGGTGGAAATGCTCAGGCTGCAGATGATAAGTGCTGATGACTCCATCAGCGACAAGAATGAAAAGAAACTGGAAGAGAATTTGAACAGGCACTAAAAGTGAACGCTCATGCTTTAACCTTATAATCAAAATGCAAATTCACTAAATGAGTTCTTCTTGTTCAATTTTGAAGAATAGACTGACTCTAATAGCCTCTGCACTGTGGCAGGACACGAAACATGGAGATTTTCATTAGCCGTTATTGAACAGATACTGAGCTGCTTTTCACATTAAAACTGAAACTATCATTGGTCACTTTCAATGTTTCGACTCAAAGAAATGATGCATAAACTGATATTAACAAAGGCCAAAGTGTAGCTGTACAGAATAAGAGTCTGAACTCTTGCAGGACGTCTTCTGCAGGGATGATTTTCCTCTGAAACTGTAGAGGGCATGCAGAATCTAAATGTACATATGTCTTTTTACAGTGTTGTGGACAGAGTCAGCAGTCTGACGCTGTGTGTGAAGCTGATTTTCTAACAGTGTCAGCGTCTTTTCTGCTTCATCAGGATCAGTTATTAACCGGATCACATTATGATTTCATCCTTTTCAGAGTTAAACATTGCTTGGTTATGCCGGTCAAAGTTTTCCCCTTCATATTCTTATAAATAAAAAAGATAATTCTGTTAGTGGTGTAGTTCATGGAAAAATTACTTTGTCATTATTTTTTATTTATATTCCTTTAAAAACATGTTTTAAAGTTCATAATGAAAGCTGAAGGATCAGAGAAACTGAAGTTAAATCTGATCCTGATAACTCTGGTTTGCCTGTTGTTCAGTTGATGCTCGTCGTCATGGTGATGCGCAAGTAAACTTGTTATTTCTCCTCCTTTCTGTCTACAGTCATCATGGGAGGAGCTGTGAGCGCAGGTGAGGATAATGACGACCTGATCGACAACTTGAAGGAGGCGTACTACATCCGCTCAGACCTGGTGGAGCGTGCCTTCAGAGCCATCGACCGTGCTGACTATTACCTGGACGAATACCGAGATAACGCATACAAGGTGAGGATAAACGTACACACACCTGAGCTCTCTGGGCTGTAGATGGATCCTGAACATTCCCATGTTTCTGAGGCACAGCTGTAGACCTGATTGTGTTGTTGTTGAAAGGATTTAGCATGGCGGCATGGGAACATCCACCTGTCAGCTCCTTGTATCTACTCTGAGGTGATGGAGGCTCTGGACCTCCATCCTGGACTCTCCTTCCTCAACCTGGGCAGTGGGACTGGATACCTCAGCACTATGGTGGGCCTCATACTAGGTATGTACCCCTCATGTTAGGTCTGTGCGTCTTTATAACAGTTATGATGCAGCGTACTCCCTCTGCTCTATGTCTGAAGCTGGAGGTGTTTCAGCTGTGATTATTTTCTGGTTAATTCTCACACTGAGGCAGGGCCTGCGGGACATTAAAAAGCCTGAAGAAACCAGACACAATTAGTGAAAATTCAGAGTATGATTAATCAACATCAGGTCAGTCTGGGTTTCTTCCATCAGACAGAATTGATGCATCAAATTTGGAGGTCTGGCTCTGTTCTCAGAGGTCCCTGCCTTTCCACAAGTTTACGTGGGATACCAAAGTCTGAGGAGTTTGACATATGCAGTATACATATATTGAAGGTTAGACAATAATTAATAATTCACAGGATGTACTGCCTGATGTGTTAACTTAGTGTCTTGGCCACATGAGTGCAGATAGACTCACAGTCTGTCGCTGAGTCCAACAGATGTGTCTCTGTGTTAATGAGCTTCATCAATCCGTGTTCTGTCTGTGTTAACTCTTTCAGGGCCGTTTGGAGTGAATCATGGGATTGAGCTTCATGCAGATGTAATCGAGTACGCCTATCAGAAGCTGGACTCCTTCATCAAAACCAGTGACAGCTTTGACAAGTAGGTGTCATCCTCACCTGTCAGAGACGGGAAATCCTTTTACATCTGTACACAGGTTTAAATCTTTCCTCTGTCCGTGTTCAGGTTTGAGTTCTGTGAGCCGTCTTTTGTAGTGGGGAACTGTCTGGAAATCCCTCCAGACAGCCGGCAGTATGACCGAGTGTACTGTGGGGCAGGGGTGCAGAAGGAACATGAGGACTATATGAAGAACCTGCTGAAACCGGGGGGCATCCTGGTCATGCCTCTGGAGGAAAAGGTTGGTGCTTTAAAACACTTTAAAGCTCCTTATGGTCCACTTTTCATGTAGGGAGGGTCAGATTACCATGCCGAAACATACACTTTCTAAAACGTTGTAAGAAACATTATTTGTTGCTTTGTTAATAATTGTCTATTTTTGAAACAAATTAGTGCAAAGAAACCACGTAAGATAAAAAATGTACTACAAGATCCTTAAGAGCCATGCTGTTGTAAACACAACACAGACAGACTTTTGGTTCATCCTGTTTTTCTGTCTCTGTAGTTGACCAAGATCACCCGGACAGGCGTGAACAGCTGGGAGACCAAAAAGATCATCTCAGTGTCCTTCGCTCCTCTGGTGCTCCCCAAACACAGTACCAATGGAAAACCTCGGACCGTCCCCCTGCGTGAGTCCAGATCTGATGATTATCAGGATTAAATGTGACAGAATTTGACAGTCTCTCCTCTTACTGTACTCCTGTTTCCTGTCCTGCAGCCAGGTACGAGGTCCGGACACTCCAGGAGCTGTCTCGCATCTGCATCCGCCACGCCCTCAGAGTGACCACAGATGGAGGGGACAGCCAATCACGTGGCAGAGGCTCCTCTTTCAGCGTTGGGAGGGGTTTGGCCGTGGCGGGGCTCCATAAGTACGGCCCTCGCTTCAAACGCCGGCGTGTCCACAGGCGTCACTGTAACGCCCTCGTCCTCGCCACACGGCAGGTGGTGGCCAGCAGCGGTATTGGCTCCGCCCCTCTGGACAGCAACAACAACCAGGGAGGAAGAGGGGAGGAAGAGGAGGAGGTGGTGGAGAGGGAGAGGGAGGGGAGGCGGCAGCTGAGGGGCAGCAGGAGGGGAGGCAGAGGAGCGGGGGCAGTGGTGGAGGAGGAAGAGACGGTTGAGGAGGAGGATGAAGAGGAGGAGCAGGAGGAAGAGGAGGAGGAGAAGGAGACCGGAGAGCTGCTCCGCCCACAGCCGGCTGTCAACATCCTCAGAGAGAGGATCCTGAACCTGCCGCTGCCTGAGCCGCTGAAGATGTACCTGCTGTACTACAGGGAGAAGTGAGAGAGCGGAGTCCAACAAGGCTGCAGCTCCTCCTCCTGGACCACACCCACCCCCTCCCTGACTGACCCCCACCCCTGATCTACCTGGAGTCTCTCCTTCATCAAGTTTTCATCGTCTTTATCATTTTCTGTGAACTACATGCGAAATACATCACCTGACCCTGCACAGAGTCGGGGGGAGGCTCATTCAGATGTCCCACTGCTCACCATGAGGTCCAAACAGACTGATAACGGTACATTACACATCCACACACTTTAAAGACAAACAGAGCTAACAGCAGCTGACGCTAACAGCAGCTAAAGCTAACAGGTGATCCACAGATTGTAAAAAATGCTCCTCATCTTTACCAACATGTCCTGATAACAGGTCAGAATTCAGCTGAAGATGCCAAAAAACCAGCATCAGCATCAGTGTGCCAAACTCTGCTCTGATTGAATGACACTCTTATTAGGTCTCCAAAATAAAAGTTAATGTGGCCTACATCCAGCAGACAGCCACCTGTCACTCAAAGAGGCCACACCCCTAATTCTCCATCCCTGTAATCCTTAAACAGGTGAGTTCTCTGTGAATTAAGCTGTCAGAGACTCTGTGGATATTTGTGAAGGTGAGAAACAGGCGACCTGAACTCAGGTTTATTTAGATGCACCTGGATTCATGCTGGAATGATGCATCTCATGTCCAGGGGAGCTGTGATGTCACGACAGTGTGTCTCAGTCCTGTTTTCTCGACCATCTAAAGCACTCACACACTCACTCACTCACTCACTCGCCTCTAACCTCCGTCGGAGTTCGGTGCTTCAGGCTGGAGTTCGGGACTGGGCTGAAGACGATGAGGAGCTTTGAGTCCAGCTCTTGGTCCATCAGATGATTTTTCTGCAGGGTTGATCCAATTCACACATTTTCAGGAGACCAGCTGATCTAACAGAAGGTGCATCTTTTCTCTTTTCTCTATGCATACGTTCCTCCACATACAGAGACTGACCTGAATCCTTACATGTGCAGCCAAAGGCATTCTCACTGTTATTCTCTACATCCCATAATACTCTCCCCTAACACTGAGTGTGACCATAACAGACCACAGACTTACTAATATTCCACTTTACCGAAATAAACCAGCATGATAAACACAGATCTGATGTTTTTGATGATTGACGGCGTGCTCTGTATGTTCCTGTAATATTTCTGATTTTTGGATTTAATGAGACTTGAAGTGGTGTGTAAATATGAACCTGTATGTTTGTCTGTGAATCTTAAAATCCCTGATGATAAAACTTTGATAAATAGACATTTTTGTTTGTTGTTGTAGTTTGACGGGGCATTATTCCTTTCTGCTTTTGTACCAAACTTTCTGCTCCTTCTGTGCCAAACTTTGGTTGCATGGACTAAAACTTCTCCAGGGGAAACAGCAGGTCGCTCATACGGAGAAGAAAGAGGACTTTTATTTGAAGATGTGCTCCACTGTTTCTGACATGAAATGAGACTTTGTTTTTTTTTTAGTTTTTAATCATGTGACTTTAGATTTCTCCCATTTTATAAGTTTGCAGAAAGCTAAAACACGGAGGTGTCGGAGCGTGCTTCAATAAGATTAACCAGAGCAGTTTAAGGACATTTAAAAGCTTTTAATGTTGATGGACAGGAGATTGTGATTCCAGCTGAGCTAAACCTTCTGCTTTACAGCCATCTTCTCTGTCTTTAACTCTACATTGAAAAACTTACCGAGAGTTTGTAATGTTGCTCTGCTGAATGTAAAGGATCATGTTTGTTTTTTTGCACTAAACCTTTTGGTGAGACTGACTGGTTTGAAGATTGAGCTGTATGAGCTGCATAACTGACTGCTGTTAATAAAATTCATCCAACAAAAGCAAAACCATCCCACAGGCGGCATTCTTACTGATGACTTGTAGGGCAGTGATTCTCAAGTCCAGTCCTTGAGCCCCTCCTGTCCTGCATGTTTTGGATGTTTCCCTGCTCCAACACACCTGATTCAAATGATCAGCTCGTTATAAAGCCATTCCAGAGCTTGATAACGAGCTGATCATTTGAATCAGGTGTGTTGGAGCAGGGAAACATCCAAAACATGCAGGACGGGGGGGCTTGAGGACTGGACTTGAGAACCACTGTTGTAGGGGGGTGACTCCACTGTTCGTATAAAAAATAGACTGGACCCACTTGAGGGAGCTTTGAGAATTTATCAAAGTAAATGTAGGTTTTGGTCGGTGTAAACAGTCAGTTTGGCTTTATCTATTGCAGTGAGCTGAGAAAAAGACTTTGTGTCCTTTCTTTGAGTGTAACATTGATTCTCAGATGACAGGCTGCTGGATGCTTTCTCACTCACCTGCAGATAGGTGATCCTGGCTCAAACAAATAAGAAAAAGACATTAGCAAAGCCACAGCAGCCAAAATGGCTCAGAAAACTTTGTTGAGTAAAAAGTAAATAGACACGATAAAAAATCAGAACAGTATAAGTTTAACAGTATGAATAATAGAGATGAGAATCACTAGTGGCCCATGATATGATATTATCACGATACTTGGGCCATGATGTGATTTTTTAGCAATTTTTAACAGTAAGTATTGCGATACAATTTATTGCGATTTAATTGTTTCTACTGTTTAGCTAATTTAGCATTTGTCTTTCCTTTATATTTGTCTTCGTTACGCTTTTATTTTCATGTAGCACATGTTTTTGTTGAACTAACTTATGTCACCTCTGCCAACCTCACTAGACAAACAGTTGATTTTATTTTTCCATTATCCTAGATTCTATTTCATATCAGCAATTAATTTGAAAAATCAATACTTGGTAAATGATACAATATATCACCAGACAAAATATCGCATTACTATGCTGTATCGATTTTTTCTCCCACCACTAACAGATAAGTAACTAAATGACTTCCTGAAATAAAACCAGGTATGTTTCTGTAGCCTGCATTGCACCCTGGGAGTTTGTTCAACCCCACATCCAGTTTTCATTTGAAACAGAATATCACAGCATTACACAAGTCACTGAATTGTCTTTAATTATCCAAAGAAACTAAACAGTTTAAGACAGAAGCAGCCACAGGCTGGAGTTCAGCAGCTGAATCCTCATTTGGCTAAAACAGAGTTGGTCCCAAAGTCTCTGACATGGGTCCAGTGATTCCACTGTGTGAAACAGATGAGACTGTAAAAATTAAGACATTCATATGTTTTGACCTTGTTCCTTTGACTGATGAACACTCACATCTTACTGAGCTGTCTAAAATCATGCGGCAGGTTTACAGCGATGTTACGTACAACAATCAGGCCTTACACTAAAGATTATGTCTGTGTGAATGAGGTTAAATGTACAGTGAAAGTGTAAATACTCAACTACGACACTCATACATCTCACAGCCTCCAGACTCTCTACTAAACTTTGTGCAACAGCTGACTGCATCTTCCACCAACACATCAAACACAGTCTGCTCCTCTCTGAACAGAAGACATGAAGGATGCAAAAAATAAAATCTCAGCATTAAATTACAAAGCTCAAAAAATAAAATTAGAATCTATGTAAAGAAACAAACGCAATAAAAATGTATATCTACATCTGTTTATAAAAATGAAAGAGCGCAATAAGTTAGATTTGTTCAATATGGAAACCATTTTTCTTTTTTTTATATATCTGTAAAAGTGACTGAGGATTGCCTATTAAGAAGTCTACACTCAGGTATTTGTCTGTAAATACATCAGGTCAGCAGACCAGCTCTCTGCCTGGACTGTGACATCAGCTGATCATCACGGGGGTCAGAGCCGGCTGGCTGTGGCGTCACAGTGGGGTTCGAACCCTGCACAGCAGCACAAGCGGACAGTCAGAGCGTGGTGGGGGGCAGAGAGCACAGAGCGGGGTGATACTGCAGAGAAGAAAGGTGTGTGTTCAGATCCATCAGTCTGTAGTGAGGGGCTGACATTCACTGAACTGGGCCGTCAGCGCTCTGTTTGACCAATCAGATCACTCAGAGCAGAAGGAAAGTTTCATGAGGTCAAACTGATTATGTTCCTGTGGTCCTGACTCGATAGCCCGGAGGTGATTAGATTCTGTGTCTGAAGGCTCTGCAGCTTCACAGTCAGAGTGCACACAGTCCGACAGCAAGGTGAGCTCCGTGCTCGTCATGATCACAGAAGCCTGAGTAGGTGAGGTGATGGAGATGTGTGTGCACTCTTTAAATAAAGCAGCAGAGCAGCGGGACGCAGCTTAAGGCACCTAGGAACCCTGATGACCCTGTGGCACGCTCCAGGACGGGACTTTTGGGTGACCCAGGATCCTACTGGGATGTTTAGGGGAATAGTGGATATGTGTCGAGCTCTCTGCCGTCCTTTCCCACCTCCACCTCGTCTGCTCCAGGAAGAACAGCATCTACTGAATACAGCAACGTGTGACGGAGTCTGCTGGTAGCTTCACCCTCCGTCTGTGCATCTACAATCAGACTGAGTCAAAGGAATACTCCACAGCTTAGGAAGTACTTATGAAGATGGAGCCAGAGGCAGCAGGGGATTAGGTTGGCATAGCAAGGAGACCTGAGCTGTTGGCCTGACTCCCTTCATCCACATGCCGAGGAACTTGTCATGTAGTTTTGGGAAGGTGAACACCAGAGGTTTGATTTAGAGCTCTGGGGTCATGAGGTTGTCAGGTAACCAACAGAGACAGACTGCTCACCACCTTTAGCTTCATATTCAGCCACACAGCAGGAGAGCGATAAACTATCCTGACCTCCCTCCACTGCAGAGAAAAACTCTGGAATATTCCTTTAAGACACACAAACACAGAGGACACAAAGATTCTACATCATCAGACACACCTCCCTCAACAGAATCAACAGCGCAGTTTGACACACACACACACCCACTTATGACGACACAGTAACACACATATACACACAGCCTGATGGTGACACAGAGCTGTCCCGACAATGTGTTCCCACGCTAACATACACACACAGACTCACAATTAAGTAAAGGACCACAACACCCAGGACGCACATGTGTATGAAGGCTAGAAGAAGAAGTGCATTATGGTCCTGCAGTTCAGAGGGTCTCAGTCCTCTTTTGATTCTGTCAATACATTAAGAACAACATGATGGACATGAATAAGACGTCAGAGCTGTGCATGTGTGCGTGTGTGTGTGTGTGCTGACAGCAGTGCGCAGGCTTCATGCGTAGCTTCTTCTTTTTTTCTTCTTCTTCTTTTTTTTTTAGCTGCAGTTAAGCTCCTGACAGCAGTGAACAGTGAGCAGACAAACACACAGCAGTGTTAGTCTGGGTGGTTTCAGGAGCTGCTCTCCCTCTCAGGTGAGTCCAAAGTGACAGGTGCAGGAGACGACAGGGTGATGATGATGTCACTTTGGCACCAGGCCTCGGGGTTGTGGGTACAGTGGGGACCCTGGGCTGGAGGGGCTAAATGGAGAGGTGGGGGTGCTGGACTTCTTCCCTGTCTTGGGTCGACTGAGAGACAGAGACATGAGGAGGATGTGAGTTTGACTCTCAAGAGGGTTTCTTAATATTCTCTCTGAATCTGCAGCAGTGCGTTTGGAAGGGAGCCGGTCTTACCCAGACTTTGGTTTTCTGAGGCTGCCGCTGGCGCTGGCGGAAGGCGTTGGTCCCAGGCTGCTGTGACAGCCCGAGGCGTCGACCTGGATCTCATCCTCATCCCTGAGAGCGTCATCCAGAGCTGCTGCCACCTTCGGGGCGATTACCGGCTCCTGGTACTCTTTAGTGGTCCGAGCCGGCAAGTCCATGTCCACCATTGTGATATTCTCAGCCTGGGGGGGGGGGGACAAAACAGGAACACATTTATCTCAGACTGGTGCCAAACATCTCTGAAAAAAGGACAGAGGGTGGAGCCTTCTGACTGCAAAGTAAAAATCAACACAGAAAGTTCCTCACAGGAGCTTTAAGTTTTTATGATAATTGATTTCTTTTTTTGTTTTGTTTTTTTAACATTTGTATATACTGTTTTTTTTTTCAAATTTTATTCACCAATAAGTGCATTTAAAAAAATAAATGTGAACAGAGGAATATGTGCAGAGTAAGTTTGGTGTTGATTTACAAAATTCTATATATATATAATAAGGGTTACCAAGACAAAATTGGACAATGACAAAAACTAAACATCCAAAAAAAAAAAAACACAAGAGGGTAGAGAGGTGGGGGAGAAAGCAACAAAAGAAAACCAAAAATTACAAATAAAAAGAATAATTTAAAAAAAAAAGAGAGAAAAAGGAATAAAACAAAAAAACAAAAAATAAATAAATAAATAAAGGAATTTAAAAAAAGGAATACAATGATTACTGACCAACGATCAATTCAGAAAAATATTTGCTTCATGAAAAGTGTCTTAGCAGAGGTTCAGCTCACTTTGTATCTCGGGTCAGGTCTCATCATCATGGCCCCGCGAGCGTGTTGACTGAGAGGCCTACTGTACCCGATGGCAGAGCGAGGCCGGCTCATCATCTGATGGTCACTGTGAAGATAAAAAAAAAAAACACAGACACATTTCAGAGGGCCTCATGGTGAAGTCTGCGACTGTGGGTCAGTCTGGTGAAAATCCAACTCTCGGCTGAGTAACAACCAAGCCAAAAAAACAAACAAACGTGTGCAACCATAAAGCGAGATACACAAAGAAACATGCATTTAGAGATTCCAACTCACTCCTCCATCCGTGTGATGGGCTTCATCTTCCAGCACTCATCCTCCTCATCAAAATACGCTCTGTTCACAATCTTGTTCTTCTCCTCATGAGGGATGAAGTTCTCTATGATCAGATGTCTGAAAGGAAACACACACACAGTTAAACACACTGACAGACAATAAGACAGGGAGGAGGCCAGATGAGAATGAATAGAAACACCAGCTGGATCTTGTGACTTTTACTGTTTGTTACTTCTAAAACGCTGAAACAGAAGTCTGCTGTTTTCAGGAGGAACATGACCACTGTGATCTGTTCAAATCTATTAATAAAACACAGAAAACTTCCGACCGGTAATCATCTCTGACAGGACTCGTGACAGCACAACTTTAAAACCATTCCTGCTACTTATATAAATCATATCTTCCTCATGTTCAGGGAGACAGCTGATGATAATCTGACAAAAATGATGACTCTGCTGCTTACTTTCACTAATAAATCATTCATGTAGCAGCTGAACGGTGGAGCCATAGATAGAGTCTCCGAGTGCTTCGTTTGATCAAACAAACACTCCAAACTTCCTCATAAAAATGATTCATGATTACATAAAGTAGCTAAGCCTCATTGCTCAAGACTGGAACTTGCTCACAGTTTATTTCAAACATCAGACTTAAACTTAAAACAGTTTGTCAATAACTTACTTTCAATTGACTCCATGATTATCTTCTACTTATGTTGAAATCAAGTCTTTAATAACTGATTACAGGGCTTGACGCTAACTTTTTTTTTCCACAAAGAGCACATGTGCTCCTAAATAGAAGAAGTATGAAGCACACAAAGAACTTTAGGGACACAATGAAAATTGATCGAATGACGTGTGTCTTATTGTTCGACATTCTTTGAAATCTATTTTAGGTCTTTTGGTCACATGACACGGAATCTGTTGAAGAAAAGGTTCAAAATTTGGTCTTAGATTTAACCCCAAAATTTTGGAGAACATATCTAAGAAAAAAAGAGGTGTGTCTTCCTGTCCGACCTAAGCCCTGTTATTTGAAATCAATTTTAGGTCAATTGGTCACCTGACATGGAAGCTGTTGAAGGAAAACAGCCTTTTCTGGGAATATCAACCGCTAATTTATTGATGGTCTCTTATTCAACACCTGATGTTGACAGCGAAGGTGTCGAGTAGATTTAACCGCGCTGCTGTTGCCATTCCTGGTTACGGAGATTGAGAAGACCCCGGTAGATCCGCAGTGAATGTCCATCGAAAACCCAACCTAAAACTAACTTCCCTGCGGTACTTACATGAAAAAGCCTTTGTTGCCTCGGCTGATTTCTTTTTTATGCGCACATGTGCCCTTAAATACATTTTACACTTCGCACACATCTATTTTTAGTCGCAAATGCGAGTGAAACGGTCACACTGTCGGGCCCTGGATTACTGTACTTATTTCCATAAAGTAGTCTAACCCTTCATTGATCGCTTCATGTCTGCAGTTTAGACTCATTACAGCCCAGATCCCTCCTCCTATTGATCAATCAGAGGTCGTAACGCACTAATAATAATCCGCCAGTGATCTTTGTGGTATAATATTGATCAGTGTCTCCCTGTTAGGCTGACTCTGTCACATGCAGCGTCCCTACTTCAGCTTGAGGTCTCTGGTGAGCTCGTTCTGGGTCTGTTCCAGCTCCTGTCGGTCATGAATGTGGAGTTCCTGGATGTCCTGGATTTCTGCCTTCACCGCCTGCAGCTTGGCAAACAACTGGAGGAGAGAGTGGAGCAGAGTGAGCATGATGGAGAGGGGGGACTTTCACAAACTTCTATAGTTTCATTTTAAACCTGGGTGTCGTGAGGAGTAACGGACAAACAACGCCGTCAGTGTGTTCTTACCTGGTTTTAAATAGTACCTGACCTACTTACTGACACACAGGCAGCTAAAATTAAAACAGCCACCTTGTGGGTTCAGAAACAATCAAATAACAGTGAATTTGAATCATTCAAAATATATCATAGTCTAGATACACTGCATTTGTGCAGCCTGTGTGCACATTCGGGGACTGTTCAGCTGCAGTGTGACCACAGGACAGCAGAAATCACCGTCCTTTGAGGGTGAGTGTGGATGTGAGACGGGACGGAGGCTGCAGCTCTCACCTTTTTCAGCTTCTTGGTTTTGATGTCAACCTCCTGTTGCAGAGAGCTGTAGGTCTCCTTCAGCTCCAGAGTCTCTTCATCACGACTCTCCACCTGCTGCTGCATTTCACGCTCCCGACGTTTCTACAACACATTTTTCCAGCAGTTACAATCCAAATCCTGCTCTGCTTATGAGGAACCAAACGAGATAAATGAGATCATTGCTGTCATGGGTGCAGAGCTGGTTCTGGTGTATTCTCTCACCTGTTCAGCGATCTCTTGCCTCCTCAGCTCCAGCATCCTCTGCTGCTCATTAGTGTGATCCACTATATTCTTCCCCCCGACCAGCAGCTTACTCTCCATGGTCTGAGGGAGAGAAAATCAGACCGTTTACATGGTGGAGGAGGTCAGGCTGTCAGCAGGATTACATGACAGTGAATTTTCTTCATGGCAGATCAGTCAGACTCACACTGACTGCATACACAAACACACAAACACACAGGCTCACCTTCACTTTAGCTGCCAGCATCTCTCCAGCCTCCCTCTCTTTCTGCAGGTCCTCCATCTTCTTCTCTTTCTCCTTTAGAAGTCGAACTCTCTCTTCGGCCACCAGACTGTGGTCGTCCATGATGGCCTTCCTCTCCCTCTCCAGCTTCTCCTGCTGCTCCCTCCAGTAGTCCACTTTATCCTCACCGTCCTCTTCATCATCCTCCGTCTCTCCTTCCTCCAGATCGTCTTCGTCGCTCCCCTCCCCGGGCCCCCTCCTCCTACCCCTCCTCTTCTTCTTTCCTGAGCGTTTCTGCAGCTGAGCCTTCAGCCTGGCGATCTCCTCCTGGAACTCCCTGAGCAGAGCGTCTTTGGGGTCCTCGTTGATTCGGGGTTTATTCTTGATGTTCTTCGCTCTGTTAGAGTACCGCAGCGTTGTCAGAGTCTCTTCCACGTTGTAAGAGGCGGGGCCGATGTTAGCCACCATGACGGTGCGGGCGTTTCCCCCCAGAGAGTCCTGCAGCAGACGGGTGAGTTTGGAGTCTCTGTAGGGGATGTGGCTGCTCCTGCCGTCCACCAGAGCTGATATGACGTTTCCAAGCGCCGACAGAGACAGGTTGATCTTCGTGGCCTCCTTCAGCCTCTCACCCTGAGCTCCAGTCTTTGTCTGACGCTCACTCCCAGCTAAATCCACCAGGTTCAGTTTGCCCACTCTGATATGGTTCTCCCCGTCCACGCCCAGCTCGCTGCACTCCACCGTGATGACGAAGATGGCGTGCGAGCGTGAGCTGTGTTCGTTCATGTTGGTGGCTCCCACTGAGCGGTTCTGATTGCCCACATTCATGACGTGCTCGATCTCCCGCACGCTCTTGTTGACGAATGATGAGAGGTCTTTGACGAAGACGCCGGTGTCGGGCCGCTCTCTGAGCTCCAGACGACGTGATTGGTCCTTGGAGAGCAGGTCTCTGATTTCCTCCTGATAGATCTCCAGATATGACGCTCTGACGAGGTACTGCTGGTTCTGTGAGCGTGAGATGTGAGTGAAGATGTGCTCAAAGGAGTTAGGGATCACCCCCCTCCTCTCAGGGTCGTTCTTCACCCCCTCCATAGTGTAAGTCTTCCCTGTCCCCGTCTGCCCGTACGCAAAGATGGTCCCATTGAAGCCTAGCAGGACCGACTCCACCAGTGGCCTGAAAGTCTCATCGTACAGATCTATTTGTTTGGAGTTCCAGTCGTACACTGAGTCAAAGGTGAACACTTTGGGGGGGTCGCTGGCCGAGGCCTCTCTCGGGTTTCTGACTGAAATCTGACCCAGTTTGACATCGACAGAGACCACCCTTTCAAACTTGGCTGCCCGCTCTTTCTCATTCATGGGGCGACAGCGGACCACCACCTTCACCGACTCGGAGCTCTTACTCTTGGACATGTTTCAGAGCAGAGGCCGGCTCACGGCTCGACTCTGTCCGTCCTCCTGGAGCAGTTTCAGGACCAGACCAGCAGGACTGATGACCACATCAGAACCTGCAGGAGAACACACACACACACATTTACCCAGAGCCCACCTGTACGATGTCATGATTACTCAGACCCTGTACCTAAGGGTGTCCTGATACAACTTTTTTACTTCGAATACGATACCGATATTGTAGCCTTCAGTATTGGTCGATACCGAAATTGATCCGATATTGGCACAAATTTGTGCATGACAAGTTTTTCACTCAGCTGCAACGTCTTTTTCAGACTTCAACGAATTATACTGCCACACAGCCGACATCACTCCTACTCCTTGCTACTCTGTTAGCACCTTAGTACACACTGTTGTTATGATCATGTGGGTTCTGCATGCTGGATCAGGGCGCTGCTAGCTAGAGGTGCCGGAGTGGAGTCTGGAATGGACTGCTTGTATCAAAGTGCCAATATCCAAGATTTTAGATGCAGGCTGATATAATCAGATATTTGTTTTTTGGCTGATATCGGACCGATATCTAATATCAATACTGTATCGGGACAGCCCTCCCTGTACCACAGATTATTACTGATGAAGTAGTTTAGAGTTTACTGGATTGAATCTAATGACAAACAAAACTACAGGAATATTTGGTCGAGTAAAATATTGTCACTAAGGGCTTTAGGACTTCTGTCCAGCTGCCTGATGGTATTAGAAAGAAAAAAAGAAAAATACATACACATTATAGATTATATTAAACCATATTCAATGACTGTTATAGATCCGATACGCTGTCATTGGGGATGGAGAAAAAGAGCTTCTATTCAGTACAGTTGATGGTGATATCGACCTTGTGAGGACTGATGCTGATTGTTTCTAAATGAACCTGGTTAATGAGTCGACTGAGTATTTAGTGAAGCTGCAGTAAGAGTGACATCAAACTCTGCTCAAACCTCTAAAAGCAGCTGAAACGCTTCCTCTCATTCAGGGATTTAGAAAAAAAGTTATCCTCACTTTCATCCCTCCTACATTACAAACCCCCTTTACACCCACCAGGCCCCTCAGATCACCTGACCCAGACCTCCAGTCCGCCCCTCACTCTAATCTTAAACCTATGGGTAATCAGGCTTTTCTCTGGAGGTACTGTCGTCGTTTATCCACCTCTCATGAACCGCTCTTGTTAAATTGGTGAATTCTCTCTTGTTGGTAGAGCAAAACAGTACCACCAGCACACTACTTCTTCAGATGTCTGTCCCTAGAGTTACAACTCACAAATGGTATGAAATTCACTTCTTGACTCTCTGGCCGAGTTGGCAGGAAGTGGGAAAAATATGTGTGCTATTTGCACTCAGCAGTTAAACCGCTGGAGTGTCTTCCTGCTGCTTCCATGAAACAAAACAACCTAATCATTTCATTTTTGAGGAGCGTGTTTCACTTTAACTGCTGACAGGTAAAAAGTCTGATATATTCAGTGTCATAATGGATCTAAATATCAGGCAAGTACAGCTAATCAGACTAATGTCAGCAGATACCTGCATCACAAAAGTCAACAGGGTGTTATGTTGAAGTATCACAATTATTAATGGCATTTTAAATAATCTATACTAATCAGAGATAATATATTAAACTTGTGATGTTAAGAATGAGACAGTTTAGTATGTGGTAATTTGTCTGTAAATCTTTTCAGTTATAACAAGCGGCTCGACTTGTTTCATTGAATGTTCATTCAAGCTCTTGTCTGCATTATTAACTGTTGTGTTTTATCAAATGGGGAAAAAACAGCAAAATGACATCAGCCTGCGCTCTCATTTAAGAAAATGGAACACCTGAACGTGCAACTAGTGTTGCATTAACCAGGGATCCCTGGACAACTGAGTGATAGGTATCTCCCAGATGGGCTCACTGCACACTAGATTACATAGTGGACATTTTATGCACTCCTGTGTAATGTTAACTCATTTTGAACAGTGATATCCAGCAGAATAAGAAAATCAGAGCCTGAATCTGACAGAATAATGCTGTCTCAGACAAGAGAAGCAGAGCTGCGTTAATCTGAGTTAAGATCTCTGAGCCCACATCATTCATGTGACTATCTGAGTCTAAATCTGAAACTAACTGAAGACACTGAAGAAAACCTGGTTTGAAACGTTAAACCCTCATTCTTGACGGCCCTCTCTACGGCTTTAGCTAACGGTGAATGACTGAAATAAGCCCGTAAGCGAGTAAAAAAGCTGATTAATGGTCAGAAACATGATGATAATTCACAAAAAAACTACAGGTTAACACGGAGCTTACATTTAATGACATTAGCTGAGGATTCACGGGCAAAAAAACATTAAATCTGCTCAACTAACCACCGTTAGCTCAGTCAAACTTCAGCCCTGAAAAGAGTACCCTGGATCGGCCTAGCAACCGCAAACACACCGGTAACCTGCGCTACCAGCCTGATTAGCATTACCTGGAGAACACTAGCAGCAAGGGCGTAAACTACAGCAATGTGTCGTCAGTTCAAAAATAAAGCAACATCAGACTCACAGAGACACGGAATAATACAGACCTGTCTTTAAAAGTCGGTGGGACGTCGTTACAGATTTATAGGGGTTGATCGTTAGCTGCTACAAACTCCCAGTCCGCCGCTAGCCCCTTGCTCATCCCAGCTAACCGTCCGGCTCATCGGGTTGCCAGATCCCTGTACAACATCCCCCGAATGAGCCGCGCGTTAACCCGCTTTAACGCAGCAGCAGTCTCACACAGAGATAGCAGAAGCAATAATAACTCAATAGAACCCCAATAATCTGAACTGTAGGATCAAATAACAGCCACAAAATACCAGATTAAATGAAAAGGGAAAATTAAAATAATTTCAGTTCAGTAGTGATGAAAAAAAGCTCCTATTTAAACATGAACTTCATAAATGTATCCCTCTGGTCTGATCAAGGTCACATTTCATCAGTCTAAATAGTGTTGATTTGGATCAGGACCTGGTCTTATTTGGTTTAGAGGTAAAAAAGCAGAGAAATTGCAAATTTTTTAATTTTTATACACAAAATAAAGTTTTTGCAGATCTGCTTATTTAAATAAAATAAACCCTATAAATGGACAGAGGCTGGTAATACAGAGTACTGAGATAAAGAAATAGGAGTTATTTCCTCTGCAGTCCTGAATTACTATGAATTATTAATCTTAGAGAGATACTGTGTAAAAATCTGAGTGACCAGAAGCATCACAGAGAAATAAAAGACAGAGAGTGAAGTAAAAAGTGACAGAGATTTGCTGAGACAGGACAACTTTACAGGACCTCTGACATGTAATTTCTAAATGATCGATCTGTGAGGATTTTACATGTTTAACCCACCTAGCCCCAAGTCTGAACAACACATTCTAAAGATGAGGACAAAATGTCACCCCTCTTTAACAAAATAATTACTTTATTATTACTATTACTATCATTATTATTTACTATATTAATCCACTCGTGCTGTGGGGGGTTCAGGAAGCACCTGATGTCTCCCACTGGCTTTCCTACAAGCAGAGAGCAAAACACCACGTATATATTTGTCATATTTGTTGTTTCTTTTTTTTTTTCAATAGAGGAAAAGGTGTTGACACTTCATGTTTGCTCCACATGAAGTTGCAGGGTTTGATACAAATATTTCCAGCCTACCTTTGAATGTTTACATGTTTAAAGACCTCCCTTTTCTCTTTGTCTTCCTTTTGATAAGACAACATTATCCTGTCAGATATATACTCTGTGTTGTTATTACTGCTGTTACCTTTTAAAGAACCTTGGTCAACAGTGGTTGTACTTCCACCTGCTACAAAAATAAAAATTTGGAGTGATGCGAATGTTCTTATCAACTACATAGGACCCCCTCACACATGTATTATAAGAACTGACCATGATTTCTTATCTCAAAAATTCTGTCCATCCAGAAAATATAAGGGATTTATATGAAATTATAGATGTTTTACATTTACTGCAGTAAAAACTTCCATTAGCACATGCATACGATCATCTGGGACATACAACTCAAATCAAATTAGTTGTTAAGCTTGTTAGGTATCTTTTAAGATGATCACAAAGGTCTACTCATCGTAATTTCTGTGTAATGATCTGTGCTGGATTTTTTGTCGTTGCCATCATTAAAAGCTGCCTGAAACTTTGTCCTCTTGTCTTGATGGTATCAGGACAGCTCTCTGAAAAACTCCTTTAAAGTCATCTGTACACATGAGAAATTAATCAGTTCATTTCTAATTAATTTCTCTAAAATGTTCTGTACTAATTATTTCTTGGAAACTTCTTGTAATGTAGCTGTAAACAGGAAGACTGTCCAAGTTTCTCTGTATTTATAAGTATCTCTGTGTATCTGGCAACCCAGCGTGTACAGGCTCCTCCAGCATAGCTTAGTGTATCAGCTGATTCTTCTGTACTCACAGATAAGCTCACAAGCAGAGAGGTCAACACCCTGAGGCTGCTGCTGGCTCTGTAGAAATCACTGTGCATCTCTTTATTGGTGAAAAACATCTTAGAAAACTGCACAATCAATGCTTTCACATCCCCACATACGTCACTTCAACCAGTGCAAATTAGCTCCTGTCTGCTCCAAACATCCCTGATACATTTATCACCTTCACTGAATTCCCTCCAGCACACAGTCAGTACAGGATCCAACATTTCTGATCAGTTTTTGGTCCCTGTAGAAAGAATGTCTCTCTGCTCACTATAGTTAGCCCTCAGGAAGATCAGTTATTGTGTTCAGCCTGGATCGAGGGCAGAGAGGAGAGCGAGACATAGAGGAGAGGGGAGAAAGAGGACAGGAAGAGGGGGGGAGAACATGATCACGGTTTTCAGGGTTCACTGAGGGCACCGCAGACCCACTGACAGATACAGAGAACAGCAGCAGCAGCAGAGAGAGGAAACATCAGGAGCACTGAGGGTTTCTCATACACAAAGATATAGTCTGCTGTCAGTGAAGTAAACAGTAAAGAGCGAGAGAACATGTTCCTGTGCAGAGAGAAAAACAGTGATTACGGCAGCAGCGTGTCCCCTTAATACATTTCAAGTATATTTCACTACAGACTGACTACATCCTGTCACATCAGCCCCTCCTGCTTCCTCATGGAGTAAAGTCTGCCACACATAACACGTCCATCATCCAGCAGATTTAGTGCTCAGAGGACAATCATGTGACCCCTGCTCTCACAGCTCTTCTTTAGGATTTACTTTCCCAGGCTTGTCCATGCCGAAGAAGGAGGACGACAGACCGTGAACGTCCCGCTGTCTTTTCACGAAAGCGGTAAACGAGGACACGCAGTTCCCGATGAAGTGGTCAGCTTGTCCCAAGATATACAGGTCCATCTGAGCAGAGTCCGGCTGGAGAGTCACCACCTTTACCTGAGGAGCCAGGAGGAAATGTATGAAATAATCAAAAACTCGAACTGTCATGAATCATTGAGAGGAAATTTCTCATTTAACAGGCAGAAACCCCTAGCAGAACCAGAAGCATGTTAGACAATCATCTACTGAGACTGAACTGGGTTTAGAGAGGAGAGAGAGGGAGACAGATAAAGAGAGAGATGGACAGAGGTGAGACTGAGTGTAAAGAGCTGTCATCTGTGTCACGCTCCTGAATGCTCCTCAGGGACCTCCAAACTCACCTTTCCCTTGAAGAGCTTCTCAATGTCTCTGCTGTGAGACTCAGAGTCGGTGGCGATGTAGACTGAGCGGGCGGAGCTCTTCTTTACCCACAGCTTCACGGCTCTGCGGATCTCTGTCAGGTCAGGGAGGCACATGTTCATGGTGAGGGGCAGGGCGGTCTGACGGTTATAACCAACGCACTGAGGAGACGCCATGAAGTGAGGACCGGTGTCGCCGTCCTTCAACATTTTACAGGCATTTTGCTGAAAGCAGAGAAGATGAAAATATAGATGTGATCATGTGATGACAGAGCAAACTTACATCAAACATCCCAACAGAGTTTGAACCTCTGAACACAATGCTGCAGCTAAGTCTGTGACGGAGGAGCAAACAGGATTATAAATACCAAAGACAAACCAATGTAATATTAGCTGGTGTTTATTCATGAAAAGATATTAAAAAAAGAAAACAGGGAGAAAAATCATCAGCCCTGACCTCTAGAGGGATGTAGTTTTATGTTGACACTGAGTGTGTGGTCAGAAGTCTAACAGATTTACCTACAAATAAATCTTTTAACCACGAGAAGTTAAACAAACAGGTTTGAGTAAATTGATATTTTTCATAGATTAATGCAGATCTCTCCTTCATGGACCACCTTTATACGGTCAGATAATCTGCAGACAGACAGGCCGAGGTCTGAGTGATGAACACTGAAACTATCAGACAGTCTCTCTATGCCCTTGTGCCGTGAATCGCCTCACCCAGTCAATGCCGATCCTCAGGTGGATGCTGACGTACGGTCTGATCAGCAGGTTAGAGATGATCTCCTCTCCCTCAGTCACCATCTTCTCTGACCACACCACATACCGCTGCAGAGCTGTATGCTCCTCCGTCACTGGGAACTGAGCCGGCGCCCCCGGCATGGCCAGCACAGGATGCTCAGCTGGAGGGAATCTGCTCGACAAGAGGGAGGAAGAGGATCTGAATATTACTGCAGAGGAGAGGGATCTAAGACTTTATAAATCTACAACGTTATAATGGGGGGGGCAGACGTCTCACTTACTTCTTCATCCACTGAGGCTGATGATATGCACTGAAAGAAATCCCACCAAACAACACCGACCCATCAAAGTCCACGCCCACATAATCCCAGAACGGACCAAATGGGTTTCCATCCTGGAAAACAATCAGAAACACCAGTCAGTCAGGACACTAATGCAGTAACAACGGTCTGTTAGAGGTGTACTAACCAGCAGGGGGCAGTATTTCACCTTTACAGTGTTTCATTAACAATCGCAGTCATTAAAACAAACAGACAACGAATCACTGAAAAATCACCCTCCAGGTTCCTTCCCACTATGAACATTCAACCATTAGTCAGTAAAATAATGTCCTGCTGTCCATCATCACCTTCATAGGACAGGACTTCTTGTCCGCACTCCTCTGAGCTGCAGTCTCAAAGCAGTACGCTTTCCTCTGTCCTAGAGGCCAGTGTTTGGGAGCCAGCTTCTCCATGAAGTCCTCAAGACTGACCACACGGTGATATGCAGACAGAGGCTCCAGCTGGAAGAACTCTTTGTAGGGGACGTGGACCTGAGTGAGACAAGAGAGGACAGTTAATGTCAGTTAATGTAATGGCTTTTGTGGGGGTCTAATCTCTGTGAGCACTGTTTGTTTCTTTGCTCCTCATCTATTGTTGGGAATTATGACACTTTACACTTTATTCCAGGTGGAGACTCTGAAACTTCCTCTTTCTTCCTCTCTGTTTACTCACGTTGGTGTACGGGGGCGTGTGGTGTCGGTACACGATCCATGGAGGGACGGCCAGGGTCCGGTTCAACATCTTAGCAAAGGCCAGAGATCCTAGGAAGTGGTCTGCCTGGTTCCCAAAGCGACCTGGAGAGTTAGAAAATGACCTTTTTAAACTCCTATTCAAACATGAACTTCATAAATTTATCCCTCTGGGCTGATCAAGGTCACATTTCATAAGTCTAGACGTTGTTTTGGATCAGTACCTGGTCTAATGTGGTTTAGAGGTAAAAAAGCTGAGAAATTGCACATTTTAAAATTTTCATACATAAAATAAAGTTTTTACAGACCCGCTTATCTAAATAAAATGAACCCTATAAATGGACAGAGGCTGGTAATACAGAGTACTGAGATAGAGAAATAGGAGTTTTATTCCTCTGCAGTCCTGAATTACAATGAATTATTAATCTCAGAGAAATGATGTGTAAAAATCTGAGTGACCAGAAGCATCACAGAGAAATAAAAGACAGAGAGTGAAGTAAAAAGTGACAGAGATTTGCCTAGAGAGGACAATATCACAGGACCTCTGACCTGTAATTTCCAAATAATCGATCTGTGATGATTTTACATGTTAGTAAACTGACTAAACACATCTTTCTGAAGACAAAGACAAAGCATCACCCTTCTATAACAAAAATATTATTTACTACATTAATCCACTCTTGTGCTGTGTGGGGTTCAGGAAGCAACAGATGTCTCCCACTGGCTTTCTTACAAGCAGAGATTAAAACACCACATGTATATTTGTCAGCTGGTCTTGGTAGTAAATCTGAATCTCTTAAAAACACTGCTGAGGCAGCTTTGTCTAAAATACACTTTTTAATGCTCTGTGGACCTCTGCCCATTCTGAATATATCCCTCTGGCTTACTTCCTCAGATCCACAAAGTTTCCAACAATCCGGATCAGACTCTCTGCTGGCCTGTATCAGATAATCCAGTGTTCCTTCATTTGTGGATGCAATGATGTACTATGTTTTTAGGGCTGAGTTTAAGTCAATACAGAGATTTGAAATGACATTATCATTTAATTCTTTTGGTTTATTCCTTCTTTCTGTTTCTGATAACTAGATGTTACAATTGTTTCATCATGTAGTGTATTAAATAAAACGGTGTCCATCTCAAACCCTGTAGAGCACAGATCAACTCAGATCTGTGTTTCTATATCGCTCTGAAACTCTCTCCAGACTTTTCAAAGAGTGAATATTTGTGCCATATTCGGTCAATTTGGAGTTATTTACCCATGCAGGGACAGTACAGCACGTATCCGCTTTCATCCCACTGCAGCTCCTCTGCCTGAGTCCAGCAGCTCTGCAGGAGGAGACACAAACACAGACATGTCACTGTGAGGAGGAGAGGAGGCTGCCCACTCACCGCCATTGTTGTTCATTTCATCTACCACAATGCACCGCGGCTCCACTGCCTCTTCTTCTACGGCTCACTGCTGCCGACTGCTGGACAGGAGGGATATGAAGAGTTTAAAGTAATCTAATTACCAACTTAAACGTCTATTATTAATGCCATCTGGCACTGGCAGTGATGCCGTTTGAGCACCACCAGACAGAGCACAACTTTGTTTAAGCAAAGCTATGCTAATCAAGCCACTTACTGATGCAGCCTTCAAAGACTGACAGAAATATAAAACTCACTTCCTTGCCACCCAGGCTGTTGTTGGAAAAAGGGTGGTTCATCTATCACCTTAATGGGTACTCTTGTTTTAATTTCCCATCACTAAAAAGAAGGTACTGACTCGTATTAAATCTCTAACTCCAATTCCTTAAATATCTCTCATCCTTCTCCCGCGTGGGCGTTGATGGTAGGAAGAGAAGATGAGGATTCAGAAGAGTTCTCAGTTGAAGCTCTATGAGTTGTCAGTTGAAGCTCTATTTTTTATCAATTACACAAGTCAAGAATGTGCAAACAGAAATCTCTGGGTTCAAAATTAGCTCATCCTTCCAAACCGACAGCGTAGAGAACTGAGCGCTTTAGAAACAAGACTAACTTTCCCTTGAACCCTTTATAGTAGATGCTCCACCTATCTAGACAAAATCTAGTCTGCTAATCTGGGTGTTATCTTCCTGTGTAGATGAATCAATGCCAAACCGATATTGGAAAGCACACCTCCGATCAAACCCACTGGGCTGCCCACCACTGTAAAGATCTTTGCGCCTTTCTCCATGGAGCCGAGCTGAACGGCAACGTCCTCCTGGTCCTTCAGGAATTGCAGCATCCTGGGCTGCCGCTTGGAGAACTCTCTAATAAAGCCGGAGCATGAAACTCCCTGGAACAAGAACACCAGCCTAAAGGGTCCGGGTCCAGTCTGACGAAGAAGGAACGGATGTTAAATCTCCAAAACCAAGGCCTGACTTTCTTTTTCTCTGCCATTTCTCGGGAGACGGCCATTGTTTTTATGTCTTAAAATATTAAGACATAAAAACATGAAAATGAAAAATGAATTTTACTCTCTTATAAGAGAGTAAAATTCATTTTTGAGTGTGAAAAGAGCATTTTTTAAGGGATCAAACTGCCACTTAATACTTACTTGACAATGTAAAACATGATCAAAATGAGAAAATGCCGATGTCTCCCCTGAAACTCTGGGTTTACTGAGTTAAACCTGGTCCCGACCAGGTTAGGTTCACGGAGTCTGTTACTACTTTAACTGACCGCGAGGTTGAGTTACCTCTCTTTGTGAAACAGGTTAGAGTTACCCCTCTCTCCCTGGTTTAACTGACCCTCCTTTGTGAAACGGAAAACTCAGAGTTTCCCTGGTTTCAGGGTTAACAGACTCTGAGTTTCCATTAAACCTGCTATGTGAAACGGACCTCTGTTCTCAGTCAAGAAATCCATTAAATAGGACCTGCCTGACAACAAAGTGAAGTAGACCAAAAGATCCTCAAAAGCTAGACATCATGCTGAGATCAAAAGAAATTCAGGATCAAATGAGAGAAAGAAATTAAAATCTATCAGTCTGGAAAAGGTTATAAAGCCATTTCTAAAGCACAACAACTACTCATCCAAGAGGTCACAAAACAACAACAAAAACATCCAAAGACCTGCAGACCTCACTTTCCTCAGTTAAAGTCAGTGTTCATGACTCCACCATAAGAGACTCTGGGCAAAAGCTGCCTGCATGACAGAGTCACAAGACGGAAACCACTGCTGAACAAAAGAACATTTAGGCTCGTCTCAATTTTGCCAGAGAATTGATTTTAAGTGTTCACGTCTGATTTTAAAACTTTCTAACCTACTGTGCATGTTATCAAAATAAAAAACTGACCTCCAGAGAAAAGTTTTTGATTCCATTTAAACGAAACTTTATTTATAAACAGAGTCAAGTTGACAAGTTTTACCAAACACAATCACGGTATTTCACTGTCAGAGAGTTACTGACTCAGACAAAATATGTGAAAAGTTAGTTATATGTGTAATACAAATGCAAAAAAACATGGAGCAGAGAGAGGAATAAAGCATGACAGAAAAATGAACAAAATAAAGACAAAGCAATATGAGCAAAATAGAATATGTGCATCCAAAAAGATGACATTTAAGACAAGCTTTGTGTACAGAGTGAGTTTGGCGGAGGTAGAGATGAAAAACCAGCTGGGAAAAAATATTGAAGGAAAAAAAAACCCAGTGGACAAAAAGCTCTCTACATGCTGTCACAGTTTCAGCCTCCATTTAACAAAGTTTAAGCCATAAATGAAGCTCAGATTAAACATTTAGTTTTACAAATATAATGAGAAATCAAATTCAGTACAACACAAAAACCACCTGGTTACAATTGTAAGAAGACTCTACTAGCTGTAGATCTTACAGGTTTGCACCAAAGAAACTCAAATGTTAGCAAGTTTAACAACACATCATCCGGTCAAACAGATGAATAATTATAACAGATTCATCAGTACAGAACTATCCTCAATGACCCTTGTGTCACAGACAGGTCATCCATCTTCATCAGTGGGTCCTCAGTCGAGACTCGAGTATCCTCCTGTAACTGAAGAAAACAGTCATGAGTGACTATTCTGCCTCGTTTTCTATCAGTCAGAAAAGGTCTCAGCGATAATCCTATAATGTCAATAATACTGATAATGTCAGCGATATAAAGGTGGAGGAGATCTATAAAGTGACAGTGACATAGCAAAGCTTGCACTCTTCATGGGTTGTGGGGGTTTCTCTGTGCCCATCGAGTAAAAACATCCAACTATTATCATCTTAATGGACTCATCTGTTAGAAGGATTTAAGAAAGCTGCTCATGTGTGCTCCTCAAAGTAGAGCCTGAAAGAGAAAGGCGCACTCACCATGTCCTGAGTAAGGGTTTTCTGGACGAGGTTGAAGGTCTACGGGCTCACAGTGAGACAGGAAGTCCGTCTGCAGGGTGGTGACTACAGAAGGCAAACAGACAGGGATCAGATCCAGTTAGTGGACTATTTACATCAATTTATCACCATAAAACTTTGACTGAAACAAGCAAGACCACTCGCAAAGATTGACTCACCTCTAATCAGGGGACCAAGTCTTTGTCTTCATTCTCCAGCCGGGTCCTGGAGCAAGAGGGGGTCATTGACGTCTCGGTGTAGTCCTAAAACAAAAGGACAAATGTAGTCTTTAGACCGGCACAATCTTTAACCTATAAGTGAATCATTATCTCTGTTTTATGTACCGGTTCCTTGGGGATGGCGCCCACGGCATCTGGTAGAGTCCAATGGTGTCAAGGGGCAGGTTTCTGTGCTGGTGCAGACTTCAGTTAAGGGGTCCAGAATGAAGAAGATCCGTCCCTCAAAGTGGGCAAACCACTGGTGTTTGGGAGAGATTAAAATTGGCAAAGATTAGAAAATCTGGATGCATCAGATAAAACCAGGTTCCTTTTGTAGGTGGTGATATCTGTATGCCATGCTCACCTGTAACCCAGTGTGCAGAGGCTCAGAGTCCAGCAGGTGATGGGGTCTGCCAGGGTCTTCATGGATGTAGACTCTGTAACAACACAAGATAGATTTTGGAGAAGCAGAAAGATGAGTCACTACATTAAAAACAGACTTAAAAGATTCAACAGACAGATTTAAAATCAAGTTTCTCTTGGGCATCTACAAACCCCCAGAAAAGCTGGAGTTTTTGGACCTCCGGTGAAGACAAATACAAGAACTCTCAGATAAAAATATGATATCGGAATCATTAAAAGAGAACTTCAGATACCTTCAGTTTGAGGGTGACTCTTAAAAACTTCCCAGTCTGGATGGAGGAGCAGCACATCGAAGTGGGGCAGCGTCAGATCCTCCCTGGTGAAACCCTGTGGTGGTCAGCACATCCAACACCATGGCTCGACACCTCCATCATGTTTAGGGGAAAAGCAGAGACATACATGTGCAGCCAAAGGGAGGCATAAAAACCTCATACAGAATAACAGGACACAAAAAACCACAAGTACAGATCTCAGATTTTCACAGAGACTGGAGGGTCAAAAAGAAACAAAACAACAACAAAAAAGAAAACCCCACAAAAAAAAAAAAAAGAAAACAAACATCTTAGATTTTTACAGAGACTGGAGGGTCAAAAACACAGAAACAAACAAACAAACAAAAAAAAAACTCAAAAAAACAAACAAAATTACATTTTATGATAACAGTTCATTGTCCCCCTCATGTTAGTTGAAGCTGTAGAGGAGACGGTGAGGCCTGAAGTTGTAGTTGATGTTGAGGTTGTCCTTGTTGAGTTGGTTTCCTTTTGGAGAACTGAGTGAACTTTGCTGATTTGTTGTTTCCTTAAGAGTTGTTGTTTTGCTTTTTGCATTTTTTTTTTATTGTGGGCTCAGCAAGTATTTGGTAAAACTTGCAACTGACATTTTTGCAGTTTTTCGTGTCAACCAAGTTTAATAAAAACAGAAATAACCTTTTTAAAGTCATAAAACCCTTTTAACCTTGAGTGATGCTGAACTATTCTCCGTTTGGTTGTGAATTTTCTTTTTTTGGTTTGATTTTGATTTAGTGTTTTCAGCATTTCTTGATTTTAGACTGTTGTTAAGCTTTTGAGTTAAAACCACCTTTTGCACCTTGTTGGTGGTTTTCCCTTTTGTCATTGAAAGCACCATCTAAACCTTGTATTACCATTGCGTCCCTGTGGGCACCATTTAAACCTTGTTGATTTGCCCTTTTGTCATTGAAAGCACCATTTAAACCTTGTTGTTGGGTCCTTGAAAGCACCATTTAAACCTTGTTTGTGTTACCATCATGTCCCTGAAAGCACCTCATGAACCTTGTTGTCTGTTTCCATATTGTCTTTGAATGCATCGTTGTGAACCTTGTTGGTTTGTGGTTGTGTAGCTGAAAACACCTTTTAAACCTTGTTTTTGGTTTGTTGTGTTTTTGCTCATTGAACCTTGTGTTGTTGCATCTTTGCATCAGAGTATTGTGACTGTTTCAGCTGTTGTGTTTCAATAGAGACATTCACCTACTGGTTTTTGAAGAGAGGTTATAGTCACAACATTGGAAACACTGACCCAGCCTTACATGTTATCAACATAAAAACAGGCAAAGATCGAGCTCAAGTGGGCCTTAACTTAACACACCCACGTCACATTGCGCCTTTGTGAAAACAATTTAATAACCAGAGAAAAGTTGTTTCAGGAGTTGAAGCATTCAGACTTTTGGGTGACAATAGAACAGTGTGTTAAGTGATATTCCCTGTCTCATCTTACCTGCAGCACAA